TTATATTTTTGACACTACATTGTCATCAAAATMTACTAAAATATTATTAATAAAAACTATTAGTTTGATATTAATAATTAATAACTATTTAATTCATGTAATAAATTGTCAAAAATCATGGGAACATATATTACCTGAAAACTATAATAAAGATATAGCACCCACTGGTAGTGGGGATAATAATAATAATAATAATAATAATAATAATGATAATAATTATGGACAACCAGTTCAGGTTAATGTTTCAATGGTTGTACTGACCTATAAGCCAGAACCAGGTGCCGAACAGGTATGGGTTATATATATATATATATATATATATATATATATATATATATATATATATATATAGGTGTCTATAATATTAGTAAATTTATAATAATTATAATAATTAAAAATATTTAGCAATTAATTAATACATTTATTATGTTTTCAATTTTATTAGTAGAAATATTAAACTTTAATAATAAATATTCATTTGATTATTTTTTTTTTAATTTAATCAATTTTACAATTATTTAGTTATCATATTTAGTAATTTATAAATTTTCATCATAGCTATTAAAAAATTATGATATAAAATTTTAAAAAAATAATTTATATAATAATTAATTTAGATTATTTCAAACATTATGTATATGTAATAATTATTATAAATTATTATTGTTATTATTATTAGCTATTAAAAATTTTTGATGGAATTTATAAAATTTAAAAAAAATTAATTTACATAAATATACAGTATATTTATACAATACATAATATAATTATAAGTTTAATTTTTATATAATAATTAATTAGATTATTTATAAACATTATGTATATGTAATAATAATAATAATAAATTATTATTGTTATTATTAGCTATTAAAAACTTTTGATATAATTTTTTTTAATAATTTACATAAATAAATATATATATAATATCGTACATAATTTAAAATATAAGTTTAATTTATATAATAATTAATTAGATTATTTTAAACATTATGTATATGTAATAATAATAATAAATTATTGTTGTTATTATTAGCTATTAAAAACTTTTTTTAAAAATAATTTACATAAATATACAGTATATTTATACAGTACATAATATAAATATAAGTTTAATTTTTATATAAAAATTAATTTAGATTATAAACATTATGTATAATGTAATAATAATAATAATAATAAATTATTATTGTTATTATTGGCTATTAAAATTTTTTGATATAGAAATTTTAAAAAATAATAATTTACATAAATATATATATACAGTATATATACCGTACATAATTTAAAATATAAGTTTAATCTATATTATAATTAATTAGATTATTTGTAAACATTATGTATATGTAATAACAATAATAATAATAATGTAAAATGTTTAGCAGTATTTTGTTGTTGGATATTATATTATTAGTTAATATTTAGTTAATAAACTATAATATTATTTTTTAAAATTAATTTTACTATAATTAATATATATTTGTTTTGTTTTCATTTAATTACTAGAATTTTTTTTGATTATTATATAWAAATATTTCAATTATTTTTCCTGAAATTATTATATAATTTATTTTTTATTTTACAARTATATTGTTATGAAACTAACTGTAAATTTTTTTATACAATAACTTATTAATATAATATATAWATTTAATTTAAGTTTAAGTAAATAGGAGCTATAGTATTAGATATAATTATAATATAATATTTTTAGTAGTATAATTATTATTATAACTATTAATTATGTTTTTTAACTAATATAATTAACTAATACTTAAATAATTTTTTTAAACAATTATATACAATTGAATTATTTACAATATATATAATCATAATTTTATAATTATATTAATATTATTGTTAATATTATTATTAAAATTATACTAATATATTATTAACTAATATTAACATTTAAATAATTTTTTAAAGACAATTATATACAATTAAATTATTTACAATATATATAATCATAATTTTATAATTATATTAATATTATTATTAATATTATTATTAATATTATTATTATTTTACATCCAAATAAACAGTCGGTTAGTATAGACTTTTTCTATCAGCTCGAGTGGTACGATCATCGGCTACGGGCGCCGGTCGATGAAAAGGTAACACTAGGCGCCCAATGGAAAGACCGACTATGGGTTCCGGACACCTATTTCCGTAACGGTATGTCAGGCGGTATACCGATTGGTGGTTTGTCGCCAACCGTCTATTTTGTGGTAACCGACGGCACCCGTATGTTTATGGCTGCCAGATATCRGATGAAATTTTATTGTGATATGGATTTTAAAAAATTCCCATTTGATACACAATCGTGTCCTATCAATATTACTACATGTAGGTGCTCTCAAAAAAAACTGTACACATACTGTATATACCTGCATATACAATCACACTTAATATATTATATATATATTGTATTTACTGTATATCTATCTCAAATATTATATTTGTGTGTATGTGTGTGTATGTGTGTGTATGTGTGTGTATGTGTGTGTATGTGTGTGTATGTGTGTGTGTGTGTGTGTATGTGTGTGTATGTGTGTGTATGTGTGTGTATGTGTGTGTATGTGTGTGTATGTGTGTGTATGTGTGTGTATGTGTGTGTATGTGTGTGTTTGTCTATGTGTCTATGTGTGTATATGTGTGTATGTGTCTATGTGTGTATGTGTGTATATGTGTGTATATGTGTGTATATGTGTGTATGTGTTATGTTTGTATGTATTATGTTTGTATGTGTTTGTATTTATGTGTTTGTATGTATGTGTTTGTATGTATGTGTTTGTATGTATTTATGTATGTGTGTGTGTGTGTTTGTATGTGTTTATATGTATGTGTTTGTATATATGTGTGTTTGTATGTATGTATGTGTTTTTATATATGTATGTGTTTGTATGTATGTGTGTGTTTATGTATGTATATATATGTGTGTGTGTATATATATATACTGTATAATTAATCTATTGTATATAACCTAATTGCTTAATCTATTAATATTATTATTATTCAAACATATAGTATCCAACAATAAYGAAACGGTACAATTGCATTGGCAACTGTTTAGGATAGGCAGTCATGTARTGTTACCCGAGTTTGAAATCGGGAAAGTTAAGTCARTTAAGGGCCAGTTTGACAAACTGTTAGGCSAATTGGGTTTTTATAGTAATTTGTTTGCTGTCGTACATATGCAACGAAATGTTGGCAAATATCTGGTTAAACGATATATACCGTCAGCACTGGTAGTCATTATGACATTCATGGGCTTCTGGATACCGATGTCGGCCATACCGGGACGGGTAGCACTGTCCATAACTGGGTTGCTGGCACTGGTAGCCCAGCAAATACAGGTTAAGTAATTTATTGATTTATTTATATATATTTTTTTAATTTATGGTTTAAAACATTTTAATAATTTTTTTCAAATTTATTTTAATAGTTTAGAAATAATAATTATAACAATAATAATATAAAATAAAAGCTAACAAAAAAATAATAAATAATTATTGAAATTTCTAAAATTACTTAAATAATATAATCAAATATTTAAAATAATATTCAAATATTAATTAAAAAATTAAAATAATGATAATTAGTAGTTATTATTAATAATAATAAATTTTAAACAATTAGAAATTTTAAAAATAAATACATAAATTAGTTTAGTTTAAGTTTAACTTAAAAATTAGTAATAAATTCAACTAAATTATCAATATTTTTGAACCCAGTAGCTATTATATTGATACTAATTAGTTATTTTAAATAAATCAAATATAAAATTATATATTTGTCAATATTATGTGTTTTTTGTGCACATGTATCTAATTTTTTTTAAATAATTAAATAATAATTAAAATTTAATAGAATAGAAGTTTAAATAATTTACTAAAAAAATAAATTAATAATAAATAATTAAATATTATTATTAAATTAATTTTATTGTATTTGATTGTAGGGTGAGATCAACAACAACAAAAAAATAATTAAATAATAATTTTTAAAAAATAGAAATTTAATTAATTTACTAAATTAGTAAAATTAGTGATAATTATATATTATTATTATTATTATTAATATATGTTTGCACCCAGTAGTTATTATCAATTAATTAAATTAAATTAATTTGATTTGTATTTTTTAGGGTGAGATCAACATATCATATATCTATGCACTGGAAGTCTGGACTATCATATGTATTGGGTTTGTATTTTTGACACTAATTGAGTTTGCATTGGCCGTCGGTTGGCCTCAATGTTTGGATGGACAGGCTGTTAGCAACCATCAGCAAAACATGGCTATCGGCAACAATCGACTGGCCAAACGGTTGGCCAATATTGTGGCAGCCGATCAACGTAATAACGGTGTCGATAAAGTGGCCAGAATTATATTTCCCGTAGCTTTCGGCCTAACTATTGTTGCCTACAGTCTAACCCTGTGTTATATATAAAATATTCAAATAATAATAATAATTATAATTATAATAAAATAAAATTGAATTGAATAATAAAACTAATTATTAATATTACTTGTAATTTAATAATAATTATTAATATTACTTGTAATTTAATAATACTTATTAATATTACTTGTAATTTAATAATAATTATTAATATTACTTGTAATTTAATAATAATTATTAATATTACTTGTAATTTAATAATACTTATTAATATTACTTGTAATTTAATAATAATTATTAATATTACTTGTAATTTAATAATAATTATTAATATTACTTGTAATTTAATAATAATTATTAATATTACTTGTAATTTAATAATAATTATTATTATTTATATATGAAAATACAATAATTATATTATTATATATTTTTGTATTTAATTTTTTTTGGCATCAAATTTCCGAGTATTATTATTATTATTATTTTTATACTAATATTATCTAATATTATATTAATTAATTTTTTATTAATTTTTTGGTAATATTGTATTTTTATAATTTTTATATAATTAATACAATATATGATATAAAATATTTTTAATTGTTTAAAACTGTAACCCAAAAAAATAATAGATAAAAATTGTTATTTTTTAAATATTTTTTTATATCTATAATATAATTATTAAAATTATTTACATAAAAACAATATTAATATATAAAAAATTTTGCTATACAATAACATATCATTTGAAAAATGTTCAAGGTTATAATTATAATTTTGTTTGATTATAATATGTCTATTCAAAACTATTCAATATACCAATTATAATAATAATAAAATATTTATATTAAAAAAAATTTAATTTAGCTTTTAAAAATATTATTGTCAAATATAATTAAGTTTTATAATTATTAATTAATTATTTTTTTTTAAATTATTATTCAAATAACTTAAAATTTATTTTTTAAAAATATGACTAATTGTATAAAAAAATATTTTTTTTTAAATTGTTATTATAATTTTTTTTTATCAAATAATATCACATTTTTATGAAACATTTAAAATACTGTATAACTAAACACAAAAAACACACACAATTGTTATGTTGTGTCTAATAATAATAATAATTAATTATTTAATTAATTATATAATTTTTTTAACTATTAAATATTTTTTTTAAAGGAATAATTATTAGATTTTTAATAATTAATATTAAATGTAAAATTAAATCATTATAAATATTTATTAATATAAAGGTTTAATATTTCCTCCCCCTCCCCCACCACAAAAAAATATCAATAGTTATCATCACATATGTAATATTGCTTATGTTTGTTGTAACCTCAATATAATTTAATATATTTTTGTTGTTATATAATATAATTGTTTATAAATGTAGTTATAATACAGTTTTTTAAAAATATATAAATATGTTTAGATATATTATATGAGTGTTTATAACTATGCAAAAAAATAGCATATTTTTAATCATTGATGTATGAAAAACTATTTATCATTTTACATACACATAAACACATACATACACACATAAATACACACATAAATACACACATACATACACACATACATACACACACATACATACACATAGATACACACATAATTTACATATACATACACACACACACACATACATACACACATACATACACACACACATACACACACACATATATACATACATACATAAAACACATACATAAAACACATACATACACAAACATACACACAAAAACAATATATATTAATACAATTAGTCTATTTTAGTTAGTTTTGAAATTACTATTTATTAGTTAAAATGATTATAAAGATAATAATAATAATAATATTATTATTATTGTAAAAAATAATTATAACAAGTATTTTTTATTATCTATTATTTTTTTTAAAAAAATATTTACTATAATAGAAATATTATTTTTTTTCAATAAAACATGTGTTATCATCAATCATCAATAGTTTATATTTATTAAATTTTTTTCTATATAATCATATTTATTTAGACTGTCGTTGTATTGTATTATTTAATAATAATAATATAAAAGGTTAAAAAAAATATTTTAAAAAATATATGACTCAATATATTTAATATATTAATAAATTATTTTTTTTGTCACTATATTTTGTGAAATTTATTTTAACAATAATATTATTAAATCATTATATACATACAGTTAACTATAATGAAAAAAATTAACATAAATTAAATGATATCATATATGAAATTCATTTCCAGTATATATATAGATAATTATATTGAAAATATATTTTATCAAAAAAAATCAAATAATAATAACTAAACTAAAATAAATAAAATATTCAATTATTCAATATATATATATATTAATAATTCATCAATGATTTCACATCAATGTTATACAATACAATACATATGTTTTTATATACCTTTATATTATTATTATTAATAGATATTTATGTCAAATCATAGGGTATGAGATAAATAAAAATATATATAAATAAAAAAAAGTTAAAACAAATATGTAGTTTGAAATTATTATTATTATTAGTAATCAATTATTTACTGTAATTTTTTTTCATTTAGTGTACAACAATAATAACACTTTAAAAAAATGTTTTTTACTAAATTTAAAATATAATGTTTTATATATTCAACACTACGTTATCATCAAATCTATTAACAACTATTATTTGTAGTTTAATTTTACTAATTGATTGTATAAAGTGTCAAAAATCATGGCAACAATTATTGCCGTCTAACTATAATAAAGATATAGCACCCGTCAATAATGGACAGCCAGTCGATGTCTATGTTTCAATGGTTGTACTGTCCTATAAGCCAGAACCAGGTGCCGAACAGGTATGGGTTATATATATATATATATATATATATATATATATATATAGGTGTCTATAATATTAGTAAATTTATATTACTTATAATAACAATGATAATAATAAAAAATTATTATTGTAATTATTAGCTATTAAAAACTTTTGATATAAAAATTTTTTAAAAATAATTTACATAAATAATTTACAGTATATATATATACCGTATATAATTAAAAATATATATTTAATTTATATAATAATTAATTAGATTATTTCAAACATTATGTATATGTAATAATTATATTAAATAATAATAATAATGTAACTATAATATTAGTAAATTTATAAAATAATTATGTATAATATAAAATGTTTAGTAGTTTTTATTTTTTTATTAATTAATAATTTATATTATTATAATTAATATATTTATTATGTTTTTTATTAAATCTATAATTTACTAAATTAATAATAATAATAATATAAAAATGTTTAGCAAATTGTTGTTATTGAATATTATAGTATTTAGTTAATAAACTATATTTTTTAAAAATATTTATAAATAAATAATTAAATAAATATTATTTAAAAAAACTTATTTTTATTATAATTAATAAATTTTTGTTTTGTTCAATGGTGTCTATAATATTAGAAAATTAATAATTATATATATAATATAAAATTTTTAACAGTTTTTTATCAATTTGTTGTATATTATATTATTTAGTTAACATTAGTTAATAAATTATGTAATATTATAATTCAAAACTAATTAATATTATAATTAATACATTTTGTGTTGTTGTTTAAAAAATACAATTTACTAAATTAATAATAATTAATTAATAATAATTATACTAAGTTTAGCAGTTTTTTTAAATTTGTTGGTTAGTTAGTTATATAGAAACTGTAATTAGTTTTAATTTAATACATTATTTTATTTAAAAAGTAGAAAATTTTAATTTTATAAAACCTTTATTATTATTATTATTAAAATTTATTTATTATTATATATTTGAAACATGTTTTTTTTATAAACATAGTTATAATATAAACTGTAAATATTTAAAACAATTATTACTATAATAAATATAATTATTATTTAAAATTATATTGGTTAGGGTATAGCAATATTATTGTTATTATAATTAGTTTTAAAACTATTAATAATTATATTTTTTTTTATAAACATATCTTATTTATATTAATTTATTTTAATTATTTAACTTAAATAACACATAAAAAACATTTATATAATCTAATTATTTTTTAAACAAAACAAATATAAATAAATAATTATAATTAATATTTTTATAAAGCATTAATAAACTAGATTTTACTATTAAATTGAATTAAATTTTAAATATTATTGAAAAATAACTAAATTATATATGTAATAATAATCATTGTAAAATGTTTAGTAGTTTTTTTTGTATAGATTATTAATATTAATAGTTATCAATATTATTATAGTATAAACTGTAAAATTTCAATACAAGTTATTAAATACAATAATAAATACAAATTTATACTAAATTAAAGTTAGAAGTTAGCATGACTAATTATTTTTTGATTACTATATAAATATATATATTTATTAAAACTATTATTAAATAATTTAATAATCAATTATATGGTTATAAACATAATTAACAATATAATAATTAAAAATAATTATTTTTAATTAAATTAATTTATAAGTAATATTAAAATAATTTACATAAATTAATTTTTTTACATAACTAATATTAAAATAATAATTATTTAGTAAACAAAACAAAACGTAAATATATTAATTAATTTTCAATATTGTTATTTATTATTAGTATTATTAATTTTTTTTTATTAGTATATACAGTATATATATTTTTATTACAACTATTCTTAAATAATTTATTTATCAATTATATGTTTTTAAAAAATAATTAACAATCTAATAAATTATAAATTATTTTTAATTAAATTAATTTTAAAATAATTTACATAAATTATTTTTGTACATAAATAATAATAAAAAAAATTAATAATTATTTAGTTAATAACGAAAAATTAATTAATTAATTTAAGTTTCAATATTGTTATTTATTATTAGTATTGTTATTATTATTTTTCATACCAACCCTCCCAACCCCCCCCCCCCGATAAAAACAGGCGGTTCGTATAGATTTTTTCTATCAGCTCGAGTGGTACGACCATCGGCTACGGGCGCCGGACGACGAAAAGGTAACACTAGGCGCCCAATGGAAAGACAAACTATGGGTTCCGGACACCTATTTCAGGAACAGTATGTCAGGCGGTATACCGATTGGTTTGTCGCCTACGGTCTATTTTGTTGTGACCAACAGCACCCGTATGTTTATGGCGGCCCGTTATCAGCTAGTATTGGCCTGTGATATGGATTTCAGAAAATTTCCATTTGATAGACAGTCGTGTCCTATCAATATTACTACATGTAGGTGCTTATCAATACACTTTTATGTATATATATATATATATATATATATGTGTGTGTGTGTGTGAGTATCTATATATGCATGTATATCTATGTATGCATGTATATCTATGTATGTATGTATATCTATGTATGTATGTCTATCTATGTATGTATGTATATCTATGTATGTATGTATGTATGTATATCTATGTATGCATGTATATCTATGTATGTATGTATATCTATGTATGTATGTCTATCTATGTATGTATGTATATCTATGTATGTATGTATGTATGTATATCTATGTATGTATGTATATCTATGTATGTATGTATATCAATGTATGTATGTATGTATGTATATCTATGTATATATGTATATCTATGTATGTATGTATATCTATGTATGTGTGATTATGTATATGTTTGTACAGTATATACTGTATATATATATATATATATTAACTTAATTTTTTTGGGGGGATGGGGGTAATCAAATTAATTCCCAACTATAGTATCCAACACAATAGAAACGGTACAATTGTATTGGTCCGGGTTTAGGATTGGCAGTCATGTAGTGCTACCCGAGTTTGAAATAGAGGACTACGAAGTTGTCGAGTGTATCAAACGTATTACCGGTTTGGGTATATTTAGCTGTTTGAAAGTTATCGTATATATTGAACGAAATATTGGCAAATATCTGGTCAAACGATACATACCGTCAACATTGATAGTCATTATGACGTTCATTGGTTTCTGGTTACCCCAGTCGGCAGTACCCGGACGGGTAGCCCTGTCCATAACCGGACTGCTGGCACTGGTAGCCCAGCAAATACAGGTTAGTTATATTTAATTTATTATTAATAATTAGTTTTATTTTTTTGATTATTTTTTTTTTTTGAGTATTAATTATAATATACAGTATATATAAACTTCTATAATATAATATATAATAGATATAAATATAAAATAAAAATTTATAAATAACTATTTATACCATTATATATATAATTTGTATTAATATATTGATAGTAATTAGTTATTTTAAATAAATAAAAGATTTTATTAATTTAATAATTTCTATAAACATTTTAAATTTTAATTAACTAATAATAATCTAAATAATTTGTATTAATTATGTTTTTAACAATTGATAATTATTTTTTTGTTGTTGAAAATAATTATAATACTATTTAAAACTTATATTAATATTAGAATTTAAATTTATAAAGAATAATATGTATTAAAAATATATTAATATTAATAATAATAATAAAATACTATATTTATTATTATAGTAATTAAAATATTTATTATATTTTTACTTAAAAAAAATATTTTTTTTAAATATTTATACCGTATAATAATTGTATAGTTTATATATAAATATAAGTTTAATTTATATAATAGATTAATTAGATTATTAAAAACATAAATGTATATATGTGCACCTGTATCTAACTTTTTTTAAAAAAAATATATTATTAGTAAAATAAATAAATATTATTATCAATATATGTTTGCACCGGTAGTTATTAGTAATTAATTAATTAATTAAATTGTTTTGTATTGTAATGTAGGGTGAGATCAACATATCATATATCTATGCGCTGGAAGTCTGGACTATCATATGTATAGTATTTGTATTTTTGACACTAATTGAGTTTGCATTGGCCGTGGGTTGGCCTCAACAATATAGTGAGGAACAACACCACCAGCAGAACAACCTGGTGTTCGGTAACAATCGACTGACCAAACGGTTGGCCAATTTTGTTGCCCCCGACCTACGTAACAATCGGGTGGATAAAGTGTCCAGATTTTTATTTCCCATAGCTTTCGGCCTTACAATCATTGTCTACAGTCTAACCTATTATAATCTGTAAACTAATTAATTAATTAATTAATTAAAATAATAAAATTATTAGTTAATTATGTTAATACTAGTTATTATGTGCTAACTAAACAAAAAATTTAAAACTAATAAAAAATTAAATTATTAATAATAAATAATTTGTAAATTAATTAATAATGAAATTATGTTAATAATAGTTATTATGTGATAACTAAACAAAAATGTAAAACTAAACAAAAATTAAATTATTATTAATAAATAATTTGTAAATTAATTAATAATGAAATTATGTTAATAATAGTTATTGTGTGATAACTAAACAAAAATTTAAAACTAATTAAAATTAAAGTATTATTAATAAATTATCTGTAAATTAATTAATAATGAAATTATGTTAATAATAGTTATTATGTGATAACTAAAAAAAAATTTAAAAAATAATAATTAAAACTAAAGTATTATTAATAAATAATTATTTTGTGTGGAAAAATACAACATATTTTTTAAATTATGAAATTGAAAAATTATAATTAATTTTTTTGTTTTGTTTTTTTTCAAAAGTTATTATTATGTTGTCATCAAATTATTTATAATTTTTTTCAGATTATTTCTAAACTATTTAATACAATTGTAATGTAGTAAAAAACATGTTAAATAATAAAATTATTTATTTATTTATCGTAGAGTTTATTAAATGTCTATTTAAAAAGTAATTATATAAATAAATAATTTAATTTAATAATTATTTAATAATTTATTTTGTAATTATATAATTATTATTATTAATAGTAAAACACGAAAAATAAAATAAAAGTTGTTTTTTTAATATAAAAAAAATATTATATAATATTAATTAAACTAATTTTTCTTTTACATAAAATTTATACTACTCTATAACATAGTTTTTTTATTAAAAATAAAATGTTCAAGGTTATCTATGCCACTTGAAAAATAAATATTTTATTATATAAAATATATGTGTATCTATGTGTCTATGATTTTTTTTAAATTTTTTTTAAAAATAAACTACTATTTAATTCAAACACAATATATCAAACAAAAAATAGTTAGTAATTACATGTATTATTGAGTTTATCGCTTATAAAATCATATATATATTAATAATTTTTATAATATATTTATTGAATATATATATATATATATATATTTATATATAAACTCTAGTATACCTTGAATTATATACAATATTTTATACACAATAGTATTAGTGATTAGTGAAAAAAAATAAAACTAATAAAAATAAAATTCCCCTAAATTTTTGAACAATTTTTTTTGTTTGTTGTGTTTTATTAATACATAGTTTTCGTGTCACATATTTTTTTTATRTATATATATATAATAAGCACAGGGAGCATGCACCAGGGCCATTTTTAATTATACCCTTTCAAAATATATATATAATTAACCTATATGCATTTATATATATATATATATATATATATAATACATGTATATATATRTATATATATAAAACAACTTTTGCATTATAATTGAGAGGCTTTTCGCATCATTTCACACATAAATATTTTATTTAGTTTTGATTTTTAAGTTTAAAAATTTTTTAAACCTAAAATTTGTTTTCAAAAATTATTTATTATTGTTAAACATATTTAAATTTTTCTAAAGATTTAATTTAAATAAATAAATATATATATATATATTAAAAAAATTACATTTATTGTATGTGTGTCTATATATTAAAGTTTTAATTAATTGAATATTTTTATATAAAATACTAATTTTTATTTTAAATAAATATTTAATTAATTTTCTGTTAACTTGTTTAAACAACTTTATTATATATATATATATATATATTTAAAAAAATATATTTTCATATACATTGTACTAGAAAATTATCAAATGTTTTTGTTTTTATAAATATTGTATTATTTATGTGTTTTTCGTGTTTTAATAAAAAAAATAATATAAAAAGTTTTAATTTATTAAATAAATAATAATTTTTTCTTTTGAAACAAAATCAACTTAAAAAATGTCTACTAATTATCAAATTAGATTTGTTTTGTTAAAATTTTTGCTATTATTTAATAAATAATATATTAATAATTTTTTGAATTATTATCCAAAAAAAAATTTTTTTATTCATTCAATAATAATCACATATTTTTTTAAAATTACTATTAATTAATTAAATTAATTATTAATATATATATATATATAACATAATAATTATGCAAATTTTGATTCAATCAACAATATTACAGTTTATATGTGTTTGTCAAGTGATGTGCCAACTATTATGGGCCGACCTATTGCCCGGTGACTATAATAAAGATACGGCACCGCGAGTCGGTGGCCGACCGGTTGAGGTCAACGTATCGATAGCCGTATTATCGCTGGAGCCGGAGGTCAGTTCAAAACAGGCATTTCTAATGGATTTTTTCTTTCAATTACATTGGTATGACTATCGGCTACGGGCGCCGCCCCGCGAAAAGGTTACACTCGGTCATCAATGGCGGGATAAGCTATGGTTGCCGGACATGTATTTCAGGTTAGGACGGGGAGGGATATGAGAGGGTGGGGTGGTTTGAACCGGTATTTACCGGTTTATATCTATATGTTTGAAAGTATATTTAATTAATTTAATTTATTTATTTATTAACAATTGTTAGATTATATACTGTACTTAACTATTTAGGCAAAAATTATAATTATAATATTAATAATTATAGTATAAATTAATTTTGTTAAAAAAAATACAATAATTAAATACTAATTATAATAAATTTTATACAATTACATATATACTGTACTTTAGTATATATAAATATATATATTTATAATAATATTTAGTTATTTAAATTTATAAATTGTATTATAGTATATATAAGTATTTAAAATTAATATTTAAAAAATTCAATAATTTTTAATAATATTTATTGTTATTGAATAATAAAAACATTATAATTATTAAGTTTCAATGTTTTATTAATTAAATTAATTACAAATAAAAATTAATAATAATAATAATTATTATTATTATTATCATTAAAAAAATATTTAATAACTATAATTGTTTATTTTTTTTTAAATAACAGAAACAGTATCGGTGGCGGACTGGCCAATATGTTGCACCCGTCCGTCTATTTTGTCATAACTAACGGCTCCCGTGTCTATATGGCCTCACGTTTTCAGATGCGGTTCGGTTGTAAAATGCATTTCCGAAAGTTTCCGTTTGATACACAACTGTGCTATATTAATGTTACCACATGTATGTTACTAATTAATTAATTTAATTAATTATTTTTTAAACTACCAGTGCTATAACTATTATTATAATAATTATTATCTATAAATTATTAATTTAATTATTATTTTTAAAAAAAAAATAAATAATTAAAAAAAATTAACTAGTCTAGTCTAAATTTAATTGAATAATTAAATTTAATTATTTTTATTTAATTAAATAATAAATTAAGTAGCAATATAATATTTTTTATTTAATTAAATAATAAATTAAGTAGCTATATAATAATTTTTATTTTTTAATTAAATGTTAAATTAAGTAGCAATATAATATTTTTTATTTAATTAAATAATAAATTAAGTAGCTATATAATAATTTTTATTTTTTAATTAAATGTTAAATTAAGTAGCAATATAATAATTTTTATTTATTTTTGTTTTTATGTTTATATTAAATTATTTATTCAAAATCAAAATCACTAACAAAACTTAATTGATATTTTTGTTAATAACAATACCGTAACTAATCGATAATTAATTGCTTATTTTGAAAATAATACTTAAAAAAAAATTTTTATTTACAAAAATCCTATTATGATATCATAATATTGTACTTAAATTCAAAACTAATAAAAAAAATCTATTTATTGTTATACTAATGATTCATACAATTTATTATTAGGGAAAAACATATATAATATTTTTCAATGCAATCTTTCTAATGAAAAATATTAATATATGTTTAGTTCAATAATAATAATAATAATAATAATTTATTAGCTAAATAATCATATATTTAAATTTTATTTCTAATTAATTATTTTTCAATAATAAAAAAAAATCTCTAAACTTAATTTATTGATTATTTATTTTATTTTTATTAATTTAGACACATGTTTATAAACTATTAAATATACTTTTTTTTAAACATTTTATACAAATAATAAGTATTATTGATAATATATATATATATACTAAACTATTATTATATATTATTAGTTGTAATTTTTAATTAATATTTAAGTTTATAAATTTAATATTCTAATTTTTTCAATATAAACTGTAATAAAATAATTTTATCAATAGTTATATCAATTATAATAGAAATTAGTTTAATATATTTATTAGATATAATACTTTGGTGAAAATTTAAAAAAAAAATTATTTTTAGTTTCATAAATATTATTTTATTAAATTATTAATTATTTTTATAAATTACTACTAATAACTATTGGTATTATTAATTAATAAATTTTTTTTTAAAAAAATTAATCCAATAAATATTGATAATTATTGTTTAAAAATTGTAATCATTAATATTAGCAATATTTAGATTTACTATTAAAAATGTATGATAATATTATTTGTTTTTAAGTATTTAAGTGATACACTAATTAAATTTAACAATAACTATATAAAATTTGAATATTTAAATTAAATAATATTAAAAAATTAACTTGATAGATTTATTTTTTTTATAAATAATATGTAAAATATTAATAAAATGTATTAGCTAAACATTTAGTTTATTTTAAAAAAAAAATTAACTAATATAAATAACTTGAAATAAATATATAAACTGTAAAAACAAAAAAAATATATCAATAATTATTATTTTATAACATATATTATTTATATATGTCTATTAGTCAGTATTGATATTTCCATATTAATTAATTTTTATATATTTAATATTATTTATTTATATTTTGTAATATTTATATTATTTACTTTTAAACTAAACAATAATAAATAATTTATTTCAATTATATAAACTTTAATATCAAACAAAAATATCAATTTATTACTCAGTATTGATAATTATATATTATTTTTTTTTATAAAAATAAAACAAAATTTTATTTTAATTATATTTCTATCATTTAATAAAAATATTATTAATTTATTATTAAAGCAAAATTATTATTATTATTAATTAAAAATTAACTATATATATATATTGAAATTCAATATTACTTAAATATTAAAAAAAATAAAAAATAATTTTATTATAATTATATTTCTATCATAAAAAATATTATTAATTTATCATTAGTACCAAAATTATTATTAATAATAATTAAAAAAAATTAATTAAATTAAATTAATTTTAAATTATTTATATATATATATATTTATTAGTCAGTATTGAAATTCAATATTACTTAAATATTTTAAAAAAATATTTTTTTTATTTTAATTATATTTCTATCATTTAATAAAAATATTATTAATTAATTAAAATTAATTATAAATTATTTACATATATATATATTTATTAGTCAGTATTGAAATTCAATATTACTTAAATATTTTAAAAAAATATATTTTTTTTATTTTAATTATATTTCTATCATTTAATAAAAATATTATTAATTAATTAAAATTAATTATAAATTATTTACATATATATATATTTATTAGTCAGTATTGAAATTCAATATTACTTAAATATTTTTAAAAAATATATTTTTTTTATTTTAATTATATTTCTATCATTTAATAAAAATATTATTAATTTATTATTATTAATAATTAATTAATTAATTAATTATAATATATATAGTATCGCAAACAGTGGATATTATGCGTTTGAGCTGGGACAAATTTAAATTTGGTTCGCATGTAGTGTTGCCAGAGTTTGAGCTGATTGACGGTGCCATAGGGGAGTGTCAGAAAAATTTTGACGGACTGGGCACCTATAGCTGCCTGTATACAGTCATACACCTGAGCCGTAATATCGGATCGTATGTATTGAAACGTTATGTAACGTCAACATTGATAGTGATTACAACGTTTGTCGGCTTCTGGATACCGACACAGGTATTAGAGATTATAGTATATATATATATATAGTGATAGACTTATATATACAAAAATTTTATATAAAAATTAAATAATTAATGTTTTTTTTTATAAATTATTAAACATATATATATACAGGTTATATATACTGTATATATATATACAGTATATACTCTCTCTATATATATATTTTTAATAATTTATAAAATAATTTTTTATTATTTAAGTTTTAATAAAAAAATTATTTATAAATAGTAGCTAAATATAATACAATAATTGAATTAATAATAATAATATTTCTATTTAAAAAAAATCATCTAGCCACATTACATATTAACATTTTATTATTATTTCAATATTTTAATATTATTAAACAATATTAGTATTATAACAATATATAATCTAGGTAATTATTTAAAATTATATTAGATAACTATTATTTATTAATAGAGATAATAGATTTTCAAATCATTACTTATAAATAGTATATATTATTTATTTATTTTTTAAATAATTGTCTAAAAAAATGTCAAGCATATCTAGTTAATGGCAATCCTATTTTTTAAAAATTAAACTAGGTCACACCAGCCCGGGTATCGTTGGCCATAACCGGCCTATTATCGCTAATAGCCCAACAAATTCAGGGCGAAATAATTGTCTCATATGTCTATGCACTAGAAGTATGGACATTGATTTGCATTGTGTTTGTATTTTCAACGCTGATGGAGTATGCAATAGCCATAGCGTGGCCACATGTCAATGAACAAGCGGGACAACAAAATTATATAAATGGTGGGGGCGATAAAAGTCGACTGGGTAAATTTATATGGAAATTTGTAGCTCCCAGTGCCCGCAATAATGCCATAGATAAAATGGCCAGGATACTATTTCCAGTATCGTTTTCATTGACTATTTGTATCTATGGTTTATATTATTATTTTACTTAAATTTTTATGCTTTTATTTTAACGTACAAATAATTTTTTTTGTAAAAAATAATTTTTTAATTTATTTATATTATTATTATCAATTTATTTATTATGTATCACATTTATTATATACTCATTAAAAATTAATAATAAAAATTTAATTTAATTTTGTTGTTATTTTTGCAAAATAATAATTATTATTAATATACTTGATTACAAATAATTAAATGATGTAAAACAATTAATTTTAATATTTTATATAAAATTTTTTTACATAATTTTTTTTTAATTGTTCTAGTATATAATATTTACTATTAATATTAGTTAATTCTAGTAAATTTATTTTTTAATGATGTTTTACTAAAAAAACAGTAAATTTTTAATTATTGTAAAAAATATAGAAATTTTAAACTTTTTTTAGTTTTTAAAATTTTAGAAATGCTAAATCTGTAATATTAGATTTCAAAAATTTTCGACAATATATTAAATTAAATATAATTAATATTTTAAGTTTATTTAAACTTTTTATTTTTAAAAAATAAATTAATCAAATTAACAAAAAAAAACATTTATTTATTATTTAACTAATATATCAATAATACTGTATTATTATTATTATTATTATTTTAATAATTATTTAATGGTATTTAACATAAATAGTTTAGTTATAGTGTTAATAAATATTTATTTTTTTTGCAAAAAAAAACTGTAATAAAAAATATTTGCAAAAGTTATAATATACTAATAATAATATATTATTGAATTTTATGAGTTTATTATTACGATCCGATTATATTAATTAAATAATTTTTTAAATATCAATTTTAATATCAATTTAAATATTTTATTTTAAAAAAAACTGTAACTATTTAATTATGGCCTATAATTATAAATATTTATAACTGTTTTTTAATTATAGTTAATTAGTTCACATTTCATAAAGTGTTTATAATATGATTAAAATTAATTAATTAAATTTTAACATTTTAACAATATTTTATTAAATATTTTTGTTTAACTAGATTATTTATAAAAAACACATTTTTAACCAATTTTAAAAAAAGTTGTATTGAAATATTAGTATATTAAATTTAATTATAATTTTAGATTTTGTCAATGTTATTTAATAGACTATTGTTTTTAACAAACAAACAAAAAATATAATTTTAATAAATATTTATTTTTAAATTACAAAAAAATAAACTGTAATAAAATACATTTAAAATAGTAATCATCTTATATTATATGTTAAAATTATTAGATAAAAGCAATAAAACTCATATCAATTAAATAATATTTATTTTATTTTTAATAATTATTTTATCCAAAAAAAATAAAATAATTATTTTATTAAAAAACTATAACTGTTTAATTGTAGACTAAAATGTTAAACATTCATATTGTGTTTGAATCAAAAATAATTTTAGTTAAACAATTTACTTATTACTTATCAAAAATTATTTTTTTTACAAATATTAAATATATATAAATAAAATTTTAACATATTTATCATTATTTTTATTTAATTAAATAATTATTTATATTTCTTACACTATGAGTTAATATAATAAAATTATTATTTAATTATTTAATTAATTAATTTCTAAAAAAATAATATTTAAATCTATAATAATATAATAATTGTTTATTATTTCGACCCAATTATGTTAATTCAATTTATTAAATATCAATTTAAATATTTTTTCAATTATTTTAAAAACTGTAACTATTTAATTATAGCTAATAATTATAAATATTTATATTTGTTTTAATTAGTTTTAAATAGCTCAGTCAAAACTGTTGAAAATACAGTGTTTATAATATGATTAAAATTAATTAATTATATTTTAACATTTAACAATATTTTATTAAATATTTTTGTTTAACTAGATTATTTAATAAAAAAAACATTTTTAATCAATTTAAAAAAAATTGATTTATGAGTATAAGTATGATTGTAATTTTAAACTATATTAAAAAAAAGTTGTATTGAAATATTAGTAATACTTTACTAATTGATTTTAATATAAAAAATTAATTTAATTATAATTTTAAATTTCGTCAAAAAAATTGTGTTATTTAATAGACTATTGTTTTCAACAAAACATAATTTTAATAAATATTTATTTTTAAATAACAAAAAAAAAATAAACTGTAATAAAATACATTTGCAATAATTATCATAATATAATATATGTTAAAATTATTAGATAAAAGCATAATAGCCAATCATATTAATTAAATAATATTTATTTAAATTTTAGTAATTATTTTTCTAAAAAATAAATAAATATTTTATTAGATAAAAAACTATAACTATTTAATTAAAGACTAAAATGTTAAACATTTATATTGTGTTTGAATCAAAAAATAATTTTTGTTAAACAATTTACTTATTACTTATCAAAAATTATTTTTTTTACAAATATTAAATATATAAAAAAATTTAACATATTTATCATTATTTTTAGTTAATTATTTATATTTATTACACTATGTGTTAATTAATAAAATTATTAATTAATTAATTAATTTCTAAAAAAATAATAATAATATTCAAATTGGTATAATAATTGTTATAAACATCTAGATTTTTTTTGTTAATAAAAATAAACAACAAAAAAATAATTTCAACAATAATTTCAATTTTATGGACAGCCATAAGTTGATGGATCTGAACCTTTACCAAACAAACCGTAGGCCAGTGCCCGGATCATCGGTTTCGGTTGTTTAGTACAACATTCACCCCGGATATCATCCTGACTGACCTCCCAGACCAATATACCGCCGAAACCGTTATCGCGAACCCATTTGGCTTTACTATTGATATATGAATAGAAAAAATATATTAAATCAAAAATAAATTTAAAAAAATTCAATAATTATTTCTACTGGTAGTCTACAACTACAAACACACACAAACACACACACACACACACATACATACACTAACATATTATACACAGACAGACACACACACACACACACACACACATAAATACACACATATACATACATTTATATATATATATATATATATATATATATATACATAAACACACACACATACATACACACACATACATACATACATACACACACATACATACATACACATACATACATACATACATACACAATCATACACTACTAACTTATAAGCACTGGTCGGGTCATCATAGCCGACCCAATCCAGTCCATGATAGGCAATAGGACCATCCGCGGAGCGCTCAGGTATCCAATGTTGTTGTCTGATATCTTGACAAACCTGGCGATAGGTTAGGGCACCGGCCGGTCCCTGAATGGGTGCATTCAGGCCATGTTGGCCCGAGTTTTTCAATTGAAATGCTATACCATAGAATGGGACACCCAGTAGTAGTTTTTGTTTTGGTATGCCCTGCGAGGACCACATTTGTAGACCCTGTTTACTCCAATCAAAACCCGAGTGATGGCCAGTCGCTGTCGACCAACTGCCAGCGTTATCGTAGGTCATAACGTTAATATAGTCGCAGGCACTGGTAGTTTAGTTGTTTAGTGGTTAGTTAAGCATATCATGGGGTTAGTACATAATGTACATACCTGGCCATTGTCGGATAGTCGTAGGCTTTATCGGTCAGCCATCGGCCGGCATTTACCGCTACCGATAGACTCAGTTGGCGACCACTCGAGTCAAACGCGGCCCGCAGTTCCTGACGTAACGATAATAATAATAACAATAATTATTATATTTAAAAAAAAAAATAATATTAAGTTATAATAAAAATTATTAAAATAATAATAAATAAAATATAAAGTTATTTAAATAGTAAATTTAAATCAAATTTCATAATTTAATTAATTAATTAATAATTGTTTATAAATGTAAAAAAATTAAAGTTTATGAATTAGTTTTTATTAAATTCAATTAAAAGTTTGATTGATATTATTATAGAAATTATAAAAACATTTATTTTTATAATTATAATAATAAAATTATTATTTACATGAATATGTCTAAAGTTTAGTTTTTATTTTATTTTTTGAATATTACTAAACTAGTAATAATTTTTTTTTTGAAAATATCTAATAAAAATTTATTTAAAAATTAAGATTTTTTTTAGTGAGATAAACTGTAATATTTAATTTAACTAATATTTATTATTTTTTAATATAATAATTTTATTTAATTAAATTAGTGAAAATAAATAACATGTTAATTTTATTAAATAGATAAAAAACTAATGATTTTTTAAATAAACTTTTTTTTAGTATAATATCTAATTTATTAATTATATTATTATAATATATCCATTAAAATATATTACTAATATTGTTTTAATATTTAAATTTTTTAGTGATTCAATACTACTTGTATATAATTTTGTTAAAAATAATTTAAATTAATTGTTTATATTAATAATAATAATAATATAAACTGTAATAAATAAAATAGTTGATTAATTGTAATATTATAATAAATATTATTTTAAAAATAAAATTAGAATAAATCGTTAGCACATTTTTTTAAATAAAAAAAAATATACTAAAAAAACATTTTTAAAATTATTAAATTTTTAAAAAATATTTCCAAATGATAATTATTTAAAACATTTAAAATATTAGTCTATTAAACATGTTTTTTTTGTTAATTAATTATTATGATATATATATAATAACTATAAATATAATTGTAATTAACTTTTTAAATATATATTTATATATATTTATAATACTATTATAGATATTATAAAACATTTATTATATATAAACTTAGTTTTTAAAGAGATAATACTGTACTAACTATTATTAATACAATTTAATTGTATAATTAATTCAATCTATTATTTAATCTGTTTGAATATTTCAATAATAAAAAATATTAATTTTTAAAAAATTATTGATATGGATATTAATTACTAATTTTTTTAAATATTTATATTATTTAAATTTTTTTTATTTCCTAGTCGTTTCCTATTAATATTACAACATATAGTTGCTTAATATTATAGATATATTAATATACATACAATACCTACACATACATACTTACACACTCATACTTATTACACATACATATTTACACATACATACCCTCACACATACCTACTTACACATTCATACCCTTACACATACATACTTATACGGTATACATACATACTTATTACACATACATACTTATACGGTATACATACATACTTATTACACATACATACTTACACATACATACTTACACATGCATACTTAGTACACATACATACTTACACATACATACCCTCATACATACATATCCTCACACATACATACTTACACATACATACCCTCACACATACATACTTATACACATACATACCCTTACATATACATACTTACACATACATATCGGTACATACCTTAAGTGTCTGAGCAAAGGCTGGCTTTTCGGCCGCATGTTTATCATCGCATACTGTCTGAGGACAGGCCGGATATTCCCAATCAAAATCCAGACCATCCAACCCGTGCTCCAGAAGCAACTTAACCGCTTCCCTAACAAACCGGGCTCTGGACTGCTGATTGGTAACCATACGGCCATACTTTCCGTCACCGCCGTCACCACCGCCGCCCAGTGCGGCCACTATTTTCAGTTGCGGGTACTGGGCTTTCAACCCCAGTAGCTGTTTGAGATCGCCCTGTATTTCACCGGGACTACCAAACCGCATGACCAGTTGGTCCGGGTCCAATGTCAAAAACGAGTAATGTATGTGCGTACATGACTGGGGGTCCAGATTACCTACCGGGCCATTACCGTGTAGCCAATAGCATACTAAACGTTGCGATTGTTGGCCATTAGCTACCAGTGCCGTATAACACAATAATAGGCAGCACAGGCCTACAAAATAATTAACTGTTTGTGGAAAACAATTCATTTGAATTGAGATTTAATTTAATAATAATAAAAATATAAAAAAATAAATTAAATATATATTTATATTATTGGAAAATTATTATTTTTTTTGGGTATAATAAAAAATATACATAAATATTATTATACTGTATTATATTTATAAAAAACAATATTCAATGTCACTTTTATAATTAAATTTTTTTTAGCTAGCTCATTTAGTTATATATACTGTATAAGTAAAAAAAATTTTTTTTTATAGATAACAAGTGTTTTTCAATAAAAAAAATACAATAATAATAACATTTATCATTAGTTAATTAATTTAGTTTTAGTTTTTATTTTTTTGATTAGATAAAACTAAAATAATAATATATCTATATTACTAAATTGATTGTTAATTTATTAATATTTTTATAATATTTCTAGTATTTAAACATTAGATTAATTTATTTATAATAATAATTATTTTTTTCAATAATCATAATGATTTAAATTTAAATTTTATAACATTTACTGTCAAATCAAATAAGGTATTATTATTAATAATTATTTATTTATACAGTCATATAATTTTATTGTTATTATACTGTAATATAATATCTTTATTATAATAATTATTAAATATTTGCACAAAATTATTAAAAAAAATATTTTTTTTAAATTTAAAAATTTAATTAGACAAATCTAGTTTAAATTAAATTTTATTAATTTAAAACAATTATTAATAAAAAAAAATTTAATATAATATTAATTTTTTTATCACACATTTTCTATCAAATAATTTTTTTTTAATTTTTTTATTATATTTATTGAATAGTGTTTTTAACTAATTGATTAATTATTAGTTTATTTTCAAAAATAAAATAATAAAACTAAATGTAAAAAATAATTGTTTTTTATAGTTAATAAAATACTTATCAATTTATTTTTTATTTTATTAATTAATAACTTATTACACTTGTGTTAATTTGACAAATAAATAACATTTTTTAAAAATATATTTATTTGATAAAACTAAAAAAACTATATTATTTTTATTTTAATAAAAAAAATAAAACTAATAAAAATTATGACCTAAATAAATCATTTAATTAATTAATTTATTTATTTGGTTAAAATTATTTTTAACATATATTGTTATTGTTATAATTTTTTTTAAGTATAATCAATATTATTATTTTTGTTTATTAATTTTTTTAACTAAAAAATATTTTATTTATAAACTAGCTTAATTATAAAAAATTTATAATTTAAAAAAATTAAATAATAATAATGTCTATGCTAAAAACTAAATTCATAAATTTTAATTTAATTAATTGTTTGATTTTATTTATTATAATTATTGGTAAGTATTTTTTTATTGTTATATTTTACAAAAATATTTTTTAAAAATTATTATTATTATTATTATTATTATCAATACTTATTAGTAACTTATTTATGTAACAATGAGATACACGTCGACAACAACGGGGACGACATTAGAAAAATCATTGCCATTGATATCAATAGTGATAATAATAATAATAATAATAATAGTTATTATTTAACAAAAATATTAGCGCTATTTACAAACCCGGTCCATACAACTACTAGTAATACCCGACTAATGGGACAGATACCCGATCTAGTAGAAACGGGTATGTATAATTTGTTAAACAATCTAGCCAATAATAGTAGTGATGATGATGATGATTATGACCATGGTCATCTACTGGTAAAACAACAATTAGATAAACTAAACCGGGATGCGGTTAGATTTTTTCGGGATATTATCAAACAACACTATTCAAATGTGAAAAATAATATAAATAAAATGAAATTTAGTAAGTTAARTTTATTTATATTTTTTATATACATATAATGCTAATTAAATTAAGTTTAAATTTTTTTTAGTAATATTTTTTTTGCTAATAGTTAATTTTAAGCTAAGCAAGGTAATATAATATATACAATTAGCTTATATTAGGTAAAGTTTATCTTGCTAAAACATTATATAATATTACTTGAATTTAAACTTTTATGTGGCATAAACTATATATATATATACAGTATATATTATAAATACATAGGGTTTGGGCAATTCCCCCCCCCCAATTTTTTCCATCAAAAAATTAGGAATTTACTTAGAAATTTCCATGGGGGGAAAGCATATAACCAATTAGGGGTTTATTTATTTTTAAAAAATAAATATATAAAACAATTGAGGGGAACTTGCCCGAACCCTATTAATATATATATAATAATATTATTATTATTATATTATAAACTATAAACTATAAAATTTTAATATTATAAATTTATATATATTTTTTTAAAAAATATATATATATAAAACAATTGAGGGGAACTTGCCCGGACCCTATTAATATATAATATTAATTATAATTTATAAAAATTATTATTTTTATTATTATTATTATTATCTAGAATTTACACCATTTATACAAACATTTCTATCTATTTATAAATCAACAAAATTATGTACTAAACAATCAATATTAACGGATATATCATTAAATATTACATCACTACCTATCGATCAATTGTGGCCAACAAAAGTATGGTAACAAATTTAATTGAAAATAATAATAATTATTATTTTTTTAAAAAATAATTAATTAAATTAATTAATGTTTTATTATATAAATTTTTCATAATTTATATAAAATATTTAGTTACCATTTATAGCTAAACTAAATACAATAGCAGTCAATGGTTGGCAACATTTTGTATTGCCTATAACTTACCAAGCTAAATTAATTGATCATGGTAAAATAATAATCACTTATTTACCTATATCCAATATGGACATCTATATGGTATCGATTAATGGTATATTGAAATATATATTTAAATAATTAAAAATGTACATGTATATATATATATATATTTAATTTTGAATCATCCAGGTACTACATATGAATTAACTATGGGCACTGTTAGCCCAGGTAGTATATGCCATGGCGATACAGTGATGACTGTGAATGCATATAAGCCCATGATTGATACTACTGGTGCTACTGGTAGAGGAGGACAGGTAGATGTTTTTGGTATACAAATGCAATCGCTTAGGCAAACAAAATTTATTATACAAATCAAAGGCAAATGTATGTCCAGGTGCTGGCATAGTATGGATGATAATGATGATGATCAAGCACCTGGTGGTTATATTTTGGTTGAGCCGTAAAAATAGCTAATTAATAATATATTAAATAAGAAAAAATAAAAAAAAACTATTTATTTGATTATATTTATATCAATAAACTAATTTAGATTTATTTAAAAATTATTTTCTGAATGTAATTAATATAAAAAATTTATTTATTTTTTTGTGATAAATAATTTTTTAAAAAAATAATTCATTATTTTCATGTATTTTTAATTAATTTTATGTTAAAATCTAATAATTAATAGCTTATTAAAAATATACAAAGTTATTGATTATTAATTTTTATAATCAATAAAATAAATAATTATAATAATATACTTATAATTATTATAAAACAAAAACAAACTAAAATTAAAATAATTATTTAAATATTAATTATAAAAATATTTTTGAACCATATTTTTTTATAAATCAAAAGCAATAATATTTATTAAATTAATCATTTTTATTATTCAAATCAATTTATTTGTGTGTAATTTTCAACAACAAAATTAAAATAATAATAAAACAATTTTTATTTAATATTAATCGCTTGATTAACACAGTTCTAAAAATTAAAAAAATAAATATTAAAATTTTAAATATAATAAATAAATTTTTTTTATTGAGTACATACTCTATATTTTTCAATAATATTTTTATCATTGAAACTCTTTTGTTTCTCATCACTAGTTAGACCATTGACTAACTTTTGTTTATAGCAGTCCAGATAGGATGGCCAACAATACTGGATTAGGGTTGACATTACCCGAGTGTCCGACATATCAACCAAAGTATAGCCCTTGACTTCACTAGCCTTTCCTGTGACACAATCCGTGCGCAAAGTTTTTAACTATTAAAACAAAATAAAATTTAAATTAATTAATAGATTTTTTTTGAACTTAAAAAATAAATTTAATATATTTTTTTGAACTTAAAAAATAAATTTAATATATTTTTTGAACTTAAAAAATAAATTTAATAGATTTTTGTTGTTGTTAAAAACAATAAGTTTTAAACTATATTATTAAATCAATAAAATAAAATAATTAATTATTTTTTTTTGTTATAAATATTTTGTTGTTTTAAATAATTAAATTATAATTTTAAAAAAAATATTAATAATTAATTAATTAATTTTTTTATGTAAATAATTACAATTACTTTATCATAAAGTTTCTGATGTTTTTCATCCAATAGTTTATAATAGTATTGATCGGAACATTGATTAATTAGACGTACGGTTTGGGTATCGGTTTTATTAGGCAAACAAAATGCTTGAATAAATCTATTATAATAGTCAGTATCAGTATCGCTTGAAATTACCCATGTACAATTTATTAATAATAATAATGAAAATATTAAACATTTATTTAACATTTTTCTTAAAAAGTAAAATTTATTAAATAATTTTTACTCTAATAAAAAAAATAATTAAATATTAATTTCGTATTTATTAAAATTGTTTAAATTAAATTTTTTTATTTATTTATATATGCTGGATAATTTATTTGAACAATTTAACAATATCTAATTGCACATTGATCAAATAAATAAAATAAATATGTAATATTTTTTTTTAATACTAATAATTGATTTTTGATTGATCTATATATACGGTATGTATATATATATGTATATATACGGTATGTATATATATGTATATATGTATATATATGTTTGTTTACTGTAATTAAATTTTTATTTTGCACCTTTATTACTTAAATTAAAATAAATAAAATTACAATGTTTATTTTATTATTATTATTGCTAGTAGTAAATTGATATTTTTTAAATAAAATTATTTATGATTGAAAAGCATAATATTTTAATGAAATTTTTATTAATAATTTTTTTTTGTAATAATTATAATTTAAACAGATT